GAACCGATAGCAGCCCACCCCTGCCCTTAATCCCATTTCCCCATTATTTAGGAAATTACAAATATGTTCATTTTAGCAAACTCTTAAGTTATTTTAATGATTGATTTCAATTGTATTAAGGCTTTCATTGAGGTATGTTGTCTACTCCATACTTTTTATTTTTGCAAGCCACCTTGAGTGTTGGAATGGACAGAAATGTGAAATTTAGAAATCAGAAAATAAAATGGGCAGAAGGATAAAGAAACTGAACTTAGCATCCTCCTCCCTGCTCTCAAATTTTCTCCTGTCCACCTTCAGCACCAGAAGTGACAAAGGCTTGGAGAAAGATGCCTGAATGAGTAGAGCTGAGAAAATAAGGAGCTGTGAGAAATAGGTTAACACCCTTACTGATTCCTTTTGTGTCAAAGAAGATAAGTAGGAAAAGCAAAGTTGTATAGTTGTAAAACTTTCATTATGTCGTAACAGGTACTTGTATGGAAAGAAAGTGGAAGGTGTGGCCTTTGTCCTCTTTGGAGTGAAAATAGATGATGCTAAAAGGAGTATTCCGGACTCACTCACGAGAATTCCGGTAAAATGTAACAGGGGTGTTTGCATATTGGAGTGTTCTTGTGGGTTTGTGTGTCAGATCTACTAGGTGGAACAATTCCACTAGAAGGCTAAACTACCATTATGGAGGTTGGCCATAATAGAATTTTGCAAGCCTGGTTGTGCTATATTTTTTTTCCCCTTCTGATAATTCAGTGAATAAAAGAGCATGTGCCTGAGTTTCTTCTGGATGTTATCTGGATGTTCTGGACTTAAAACATACTTTACCCCTTGCTGCTTTGGCCACAGAGCTTGCATATCTCCATCCATCATCTTCCTTATTCTACATTGTGGCAGACCACTTGATTTCCTTCCTTATTTTTACTGATTTTTCATTTATTTTCAGATTATTGATGGAGATGGGGAAGCAGTACTAAAAAGAAATACACTACGTTCTCGATTTCAAAATCTCACTGAGCTTGTTGGTCATACTCTGTATGCATCTGTAACAGTCATGACAGAATCAGGTGAGCAGGAGTGGGAGAAGAGAAGGGTAAATTGTTTCTTTGAAAACAAACACATTACACTTTTTAAAATTAACAGACTGCAATTTTAAATACCAGGGACTGAAAATAACCAAATAAAAGAAAACAAACCATCACCAGAATACATCATTGATTTGTGACTTGATTTTTAAATCCTCCTCTTTCACAATGATTATTCACCCTTATCCCACAAAATCCACAATATTTTTGTGGGTAAATGTCTCTTATCTGACTTTAAATGTTTAGTAAAGTGAATCAAAACTTTCCAAATTAGATTAAAAAGGATGTGCTATCTGAAAAGTTGTCCTGTATATACTGTATAAGTTTTTTCCATTGAAACTGTTTCTAATCATTTGGAGTGTTAGGGCTAAATTTGGAATATTAATATCCTTCTCTTTCGGGGCTATCCATATGCTTCCTGACACCAGTATCAATTTGATCTTGTCTTTGTTTCTAATATTTTTATTGTCTTCTTGAAACACCAATAAAACACTTAATTGCTATAGCAATTAAGCAATTATAACAGTTCTTACTCATTCCATAAAACTTGATCAAAATTTTGGAGTTTGGGCAATTCTATCAGATATGTCATTTTGTATCATTATTAGATACTGTCCTCAAACTTTTGCTAAAAATTGGAATACAATATGAATAATTTTTTATAATCCTTCCACAGTAAGGTAAAAGTTTCTTCCCCAGTTTCCATTTCATATTCTCAGTATTGTTTCCAAGTTCTTATTCCTATAAAAGTTTACTGCATTCTGGAACTCTTGAATGATATCGTATGAATTTTTGACATGATTCTTTGGTATTTTCCTTTAGTTCAGAAATTATTGCTTCAAAGTCAGTCAGGAGGTATAGTTATTTTCTTTATTTTTTTCATTTTTAACAAATGATAGAGCCTTTACATATTTAGTCCTGAAGCATCTCTGCCTTTTCTTTATATCAGAAATTGTTTCTCCATTTCTAAATCAGTCTTATATAAATACTCATTTCTTCATCTCTTTGAAGTGCTTTAAAATCTCTGAAAAACATTGAATTTCTATGAGGGGCATAATTGGAGAAAGTTACAGTACTAATATTTCACATCACTTTTGTCAAATTTCAATTTCAAATTTCAATTTTTTTGGTCAATTTTATTCAAGCAGTTTTAAATCTATAATATTATGTGGAATTACATCCAGACTTTGTTTTTGAAGCATATAAGTCTAAGTGCTATTGCTATTTTACGGGAAACAGTATGTCTAGTCGCAAAGCTACAAAATAAAAAAAATTCCCACTCCACATCTTCTGAAATTTTAATATGCCAATTTTCTGTTTATAAATGATCATTTGCCACATTATTTTCTCTTCTTAAAACCATTTACATGACATGATAATAAATTAAAATCAGCATGTAATATGATGCAACATTGTTTTCTATAAAAAGAAAGGGATACGAAGATAGAAGAAGTTGAGAGACAATTTGCAAACTGTGAAAGTATTGGGTATATTAGGTTTGAAACTAGCTACTTCAAAATATTTGCAGGATTTTTCTCTTGCATTTCTCAGTTTGATTTCCTATTTTAAGTTGCATTCCTTCTTTTGTTTTGCAGGCAGTGATATGGTAGTGACTGAGCAAAGCGGCATTCATATTGTGACATCTCCCTATCAGATCTACTTCACAAAAACCCCCAAATATTTCAAGCCAGGAATGCCATATGAACTGACGGTAATAGAAATCAAAGTCTCCTATTTTGTGGAAGAGCCACCTTAGCAATGTCTTTCTCCCCTTATTGGGCTTCTGAGGAGCTGTCTAGACTTGCTTGTTCAAGATGCATGTGGAGGCTTCAGATTATCTCGGGGTTGACGCTGCCACTGTAGATTGATTGATTGATTGATTGGTATTTATACACTGGATGTTTTGCTGTAATGTATCTGCATAAAAGTTATGTAATTTAGTGACAAAAAGCCTTAAATTAATTTGTAAGCCACCTGGAATCACTATGTGAGTTGGGCAGCCATATAATTCTTCTTAATGATTAATAAATAAGTGAATAAACTGATTTAGATTCAGAGGAAGCTGCCTTGTTCCATGCTGAATCACCTCTTCTGGATTGCTTTAGGTGTATGTTACCAACCCTGATGGCTCACCAGCTGCCAATGTACCAGTGGTATCAGAGCCCATTCGTTCTGAGGGAACCACTTTGAGCGATGGGACTGCTAAGCTCATCCTGAACACACCACTGCACACCCAAAGCCTACGGATCACTGTAAGTCACTCTGGCATTCTGTTAAATCCCATTCAGTGTGCTGATGAGAGGGAATGTCGTAAGGAGGTGGATTCCCAGGAGGGAGGGGGGCATTGCAGAGGAGTAAGAGGCATCTCACTCCGGATGCTTTATATGAGAGAAATAGGGTGAAGACAGCCCCTCCCTAATAGTTCTCAGAGTATGTTGCAGATACAGACAGTAGACTCCCCAGTCTGGCAAGATTTTGCCTGTAGGTTTGAAAGCAATAAAGAACTCAACTTGGGAAAAGTTTATTCTTGGTTTTGGGCCTGACATCTATGTTGGAACATAGGGCCATCACAGTCTGGTGTGCAAATTGTGCACCACCTAGTGAAATGACCTGAAGACAGGATTGTCATTTGTCAAAAGCGAAGGAGATACAGTGCCAGTAACATAAACTTATCTGCTTTGCCCACACACAGTCAGACTCTGGGAGCAGAGACAGACCTAGCAGGTCTATGCATTGTGGAATTCTGCACAGTGGCACCTTGCAGGCCAGTAGCAGCTCTGCTGTTACTCAAGAGGGAACAGGTGATGAAATGTCCATCTGTTTGCTGTGATGCAAACTCTGCTTTTATGCACTTTTGCAGGACAGCGTGTACAGCTATGAAAGGCAAAGCAAGAAATATACACCGTGAAGCCCTTATGCACATTGTATCACTGGAGAGTCATCTTAGCTAGGAATGGAGACAAATACATTATGTATGCCTGTTAGCGTAAGGGAGATCATTGTATATAGGTTGATATCTGTGTATTTGGGTCATGCTGTTGAGTTGAGTGTAATATAATGATAATATTTCTTCATATTTTTTTTGTTTACAAGGATCACTTGTAAAAATCAGCTGATCAAGATATATTGTGTGGCCTGGTGATATCTATAAAAAAGAAAGGAAGGTGGGGAAATAAATGGCATTGGGCAGCTCCTAATCCCTGGGTAAAGTTTGTTTTTTAAGGATAAACAAATAGAAAACACACCCCATGGATAAAGGCCACTGAAAATAAAGTGATTTCTCTTCTATTCTCAGTGTTTCTCAGTACAAGTGATACTCTTTCACAGGAACAATGATTCTTGCAAATCCCTGATTTGGTTTGGCATGAAATATCCGATTTGCTTTTTGTAGCCAGTTCATCATCCCAACTGGCCCTCAGGCTACAACTCACTTTGCAATTGTTTTATTCAATAGCTATGCCCACTCCTGAAATACCAATTGCAATGTTGCACTTGGTACACTCATAGTAACATGGAGTTCTTTCCCTCGCTGAAGATGCAGATCATATCAAAGGATCTTAGGTTGGTTTCTTTTTTTAATGAAGACAGGATGCTAGCCAGGTCCGTTCTAGCCATCACTCTATTCTTTCAGCAGTCTTCATGTGAACATCACTAAGTGCCAGCTTTAAAAAGAGTTCTAGTTGCTTCTTAATTAGGTTACTGCTTCATATTTATCCTCTCTAGGTTAGAACCAACCATGGAGACCTCCCAAGACATCTCCAGGCAACAAAGTCCATGACAGCCACAGCCTATCAAACTCAGGGAGGATCTGGAAACTATCTTCATGTAGCTATTACATCTACAGAGATTAAGCCCGGAGATAACTTACCTATCAATTTCAATGTGAGGGGCAATGCAAATTCACTGAACCAGATCAAATATTTCACATACCTTGTAAGTATTATAGATCTGGAGGAAATCCAGGGGCTGCATTTCAATTCATATTGTAGCCTTGAAGCCATTGGCTTAACCTATCATTTCTAACCTTCCCATTAATCGGTATTTGTTCACCCTCAGATATTGACTAAAGGGAAGATTTTCAAGGTTGGCAGGCAACCCAGGGGAGAAGGGCAGAATCTGGTGACCATGAATCTGCGTATCACTCCAGATCTCATCCCTTCCTTCCGGTTTGTGGCTTACTACCAAGTGGGAAACAACGAAATTGTGGCTGACTCTGTCTGGGTGGATGTGAAGGATACCTGCATGGGAACGGTAAGTCAGCCTTCCAAGTAGCTTTCTTAGCAGTCATGGGAATCCCTTTATTATAGCTGCATAAATCAGATGTGCTTATTTTAAAGCACTTTCATGGTATTTTTCCCCCAAACATTTATTTCTGTTCAGATAGAAAAACTATTTCCCCTTGAATTGGGAATTTTTCTGTCTGTTATAGAGATTTGAGCTGTTCTTTGCTTTGTACAAACAGTTGGTTGTGAAAGGAGCGTCTTCCAGAGACAATCGAATACAAATGCCAGGAGCTCCAATGAAAATCAAATTGGAAGGAGATCCAGGTGCTCGGGTCGGTCTTGTGGCTGTGGACAAAGCAGTATATGTTCTCAATGATAAATATAAGATTAGCCAAGCCAAGGTAAGGCCAGAAATTTCTTAAGCTACAAACATTCAGCTTTCAAGAGTTTTCCGACTTACAGTACTGAAGAGGAACATTTTTTTTTCTGTCATGTGCACTAGATATGGGACACAATAGAAAAGAGTGACTTTGGCTGTACAGCTGGCAGTGGCCAGAATAATCTGGGTGTGTTTGAAGATGCTGGACTGGCTCTGACAACCAGCACTAATCTCAATACCAGACAGAGATCAGGTATTTGGGGAATGGGTGCTAATGTCTGGGAGGTGGCAGAGGTTTTTCAATCCATTTAGAGGCGAAGGGAAGAGCATTGCTCCATCAAATACTACTGAAATCATATGGGAATCAATTCACGAGGCCCAAAGCAAATAGTCAAGCCTCACTGCAGAGGCACATGGTTGAGATGGGCAGTTTAGAAATTAATTAATTAATTAAACAAGCAAGCAAGCAAGCAAAATGTATTGTTATCAATTTGCCCTGTAGGAACTACCTCCAGAAATTGGTCAAAGAAGCTCCAGCAGACAAAAAGATTCATTCATATTGACACATTTCAGAAAGGAGGAGAAAACGATATCCATACATATGCATAAATAGTAAATGATGTAAACATAAATATTCATAATTACCAAACCTCAATTTACTTCTACATTCAAGAATGAATTATTGCCTTAATAAAAGAAACAGATCAGTTTGGTTGCCATAGAAATCTTGGTCAGGCTTACTGAGAACCAGACACTTCAAGGCTACCTTTTTCATGTGCCAATTAGCACACGTTCCTTTTATGATTCTTTTTTGCTAAAATGTCCCGCCCCTCTAAGGATTTGTTTTCCTCACACCTGAGAAGTGTGTGTCAGCATTTCAAGGACAGAATATTGGCCATTGGGTTCTTAAACTGCATGTAATGGTTCCAAAATCCTCTTCCAAGTGATTACTCAAATTGTAGGACAAATCACTGTTTCTCAGGGTGGTTCTAGAGGAGGGAATTATAATGCAGGATTTCTACTTTATTCCTATGATTTTAGGAAGTGTCCACTCTAATCCTCCACTGGTATTTTCCTGCTTTTTTCCTTTCCTTTCATTTCAAAGGGGGAAAAAGAGTCCAGCAAAACATGAAAAAGCTGGAGATGCTCTTTGACTTCTTCAACTGTGAGCCCTTCAACTCAGACCCAATGAAGAGTTGAGCTATGCTTTCTCCCCTACTACACCTTCCCAGCTCTAAAGTGAACTTTCTATGAGCTGCTTTATCTTCACAGGAACTAGTGCTGAATGTTATCTTCTTATTGTAAAGAATAATTGTTCCTACCTCTTCTCCCTTGCCTCCTTCAGATGCAAAGTGTCCTCAACCTAGAAATCGGAGGCGTCGCAGTTCTGTTTTGCTGCTTGACAGCAAGGCAAGCAAAGGTATGTGGCAAATAATGAAGTTTCTGTTTACTCTGAGGTAAAAGAATAAAACTACAGTCCACTTGCATTTATTGAATCAATCAGAAAATGGAGGAAGGAATGGAGGAATATTATCCTCCTTTCCCTTCTTTCTCAAGCAAGAGGGTACAAAATTAATTATCTCTATTGAATAGGATCATTTTTAACCTATCAATAACTTTGAGTGCTTGAATTCTGAGTGCAATGGGGAGAGTACTAAAGTGGCCCAATAGTCTAATGTAGAATATACAGTAACTGGTTCCAGCTAAAGAGATTGCATTTGATACACAAAATTTTGAAGCATTGCTTTTCGAGTGTTCTCGGATCGCAGCACTGATCAAGAGTTGCTCTTGATGAGCAGGAAGTAAGCAATCAGTGGCCAGTGAACTTCAAGCAGCCCCCAAACTAGGAACATCTGTGGGAATGCCTGCATATCAACATGGCAGTTCCAATTGAACAATCAAAGCTCTGCCCCTTTTATATGCCCCAAAGCCTTTTTTGAATCACCAGGACAGAATAGAAGAAAAGAACGGAACGGGATGGGATGGGATGGAATGGAATGGAATGGAATGGAATGGAATGGAATAGAATAGAATAGAATAGAATAGAGCAGAGCAGAGCAGAGCAGAGCAGAGCAGAGCAGAGCAGAGCAGA